AATAAAAAATAAAGATTTACAAAGTCCTTTCCTCAAAACAACTCTGTGAGGCAGGAAGTATAAATACGAACATCCCTATTTCACAAATAGGGACCACTGGGTGGCACAGTGGATATAACGCTGGGCCTGGAGTCATGAAGACTCATTTTTCTGAGTTGAAATCTGGCCTCAGACACTCACTAGCTGTGTGACTCTGGGCAGGTCACTTCACCCTGTTTGCCTCAGTTTCCTCATCTGTAAAATGAGCTAGAGAAGGAAATGGCAAATCACCCCAGTATCTTTGCCAAGAAAACCCCAAATGAAGTCACGAAGAATCAGACATGACTGAACAACAACAAATTTTATAAATGATGGAATTGAGACTCAGAGATCAGTGAAGTAACCCTAATACTAATGGGAAGGGTCTCATAGCATCTTTCAAACAAATAAAAGTTTTTTAAATGTGATAATTTTTTAAAAATTACATGTAATCTGTGTTTCAGTGTCATTTAAAGACAACCTCTCCATTTTATAGCAGAAGAGATTGAAGCTTAGGAAGATAAATAGGCTTGTCTATGATCTTGAAGCTAATAGTAAATGACAGGAACGACTACCTCCTATGAATGGGGGTATGCCTTATTTATCTCTTATAAGTGCAAAGAACAAATATGACGGTTGAATGAATGGTATGAAATCTGAGGCTCTGACAGGTGAAGTAATCCACCCAAGGCCACAGAGCTAGTTAGTGGTAATCGAACTTGAAATGAAAAGACTGATGCCCAGTTCTGACACTAAGCCTTTGCTACGTCACTTAACCTTCCCAGTTTCACTTTCATCTGTAAAATGGGGGTAACAATATCTACAGTACTTGAATCATAAACTTTAAAGTGTCATATCTGTGCAAGCTGTTGTTACTATTATTTCCACTAAACTGAAGAACTTCCAGATGGGGAAGACTGTGACCTAGGAGAGAGTTGGATATCTCTTTTGGAACAGGATCCATCCCTTTGCTTCTAGTCAGTTTGGGGTGGAGGATGTGGTGGACTTGAATTGGGGGTGTGTGCTCGGTTTGAATTCCACATCTGGCACTTACTAGAGTACAACCATAAGCAAGTAATTTAACCTCTTTGAATCTTAATCTCCTCATTCACAAAATGGAGTACACCTCATCTCATGAGGTTGTTGTGAACAATTTCTTCTCCTTCCCTACTCTGCATGTCATAACCGTATGACATCATTTTCCATTCTCTCCCCGCTTTTTCATGGTAGTCCTTCTTGCCAGCTACTCTACATATGCCCGTTAATCTCATCCATCCCTGCCTTCTCCAGCAGAATTCAGTCATTTATTTTCAGTCATGTCTAACTCTCCATGATCCCATTTGGGGTTTTCTTGGCAAGAATACTAGAGTGACTTGCCATTTCTTTCTCCAGCTCATTTCACAGATGAGGAAACTGAGGCCAACAGGGTAAAATGACTTGCCCAGGGTCACACAGTTAGTAAGTGTCTCAGGCCAGATTTAAACTCAGGAAGATGAGTTTTCTAGACTCTAGAGTCTACCCACTGGTCCACCTAACTGCTCCTTCAACAGAATGCCCCCACAATAATCTCCCTAGTGTTCAATCTCTCCCTATCTACTGGTTTCTTCCCTGCTGCTTACAAATATGTTCAATCCTCTCCCATCCTTAAAACACTTTAGCTAAACCCAAACATTCCCTCTAGGTGTTATACCATATCTCTCCTCCTTTTCTCAGCCAAACTCCTAGAAAAAGCAGTCTGTACTCACTGTCTCCACTCTTTGCCCTCTTTTCCCCCTCATCATTATACTGAAACTCTTCTCCTCAAAGCACCCAATGACTCAGGCTAACACGTACATATGTAGCAATATTAATAAATTACCAAATTTCCATCCTCATCCTTGACCTCTCTTGCAGCATCTGACACTGACCATCCCCACCACCTAGACACTCTTTCCTATCTGGGATCCTGTGACACTGCTTCCTCTTAGTTCTCTCCTGACTCTCTCTAGCTCCTTTGCTGGATTATCATACATATCCTGCCTCCTAACTCTGTGTTGCCCAAGTCTCCGCTCTGGCTCCTCTCTCTCTACACTCTTCTCACTTAGTGACTTTGTCAGTTTCAGTAGGTTTATTCTAGGTGGATGACTCTCAGAGCTCCTGAGCCATTCAATAAATCAATCAACAAACATTTATTAAATGTTTACTATGTGCCAGGCACTGTATTAATCTCTGAGGATATAAAGAAAGGCAAAAACACAAAAACAGGCCCTTTCCTCAAGGAGCTTAAATATTAATGGGAAGGGAACAAGTATTTATTAAATACTTTCCATGTGCCAAGTACTACATTAAGTGCTTTACAGATATTATCCCATTTTATCCTTGCAACAACCCTGGGAGGTAGGTGCTATTATTATCCTCATTTTTCAGTTGAATAAACTGAGGCAAACAGAGGTTAAGTGATTTGCCCAGGGTCATACTGTTAGTAAGTGTCTGAGGTCAAATTTGAACTCAGGTCCTCCTAACTCCAGGCCCAGTGCTCCATACACCATGCATTCTAAGAGATGGAATATGTAAATAAGTAGTGTAACATGGGATAGATATAGAGTAGAAGAAGGGTAATCTTATGGGGAAATCTCAAGTAACTGGGGATAGGAGGGACTGGGAAAGCCTTCTGTAGAAGGTAGCATTTGAGCTGAGTCACACACTGCTGTGACAATTGAAAAGTTGAAGAGACATAGTTTCTGGGTAATTAATCATTTTATTAATAATGCTAGCATTTTATCAATAAAAGGATTAGTAACACTCTTGAATGCCAAAGACCAAGCATGGTGGTGGGCTCATACTTTATATGCTCTTGGAAGAGTAGCTGTTCCTGAGGGTGGCAATCAACTCTGACTGGTTAAAATTAATGAGAAAATGAATAATATAATGAGAGGTGGGCTTATTGCAATGAGGGTCCTGAGACACTGAGCACCCAAATCTTGGTCAGAGAGATTTGTAAATTTCCATATCACTGGTTCTGACAAAAGGGAGAATCCCCACTTTCCCAGACCTGTCTGAATAAACACAACGAGCAGGAATCCACCTATTTGCCTAAACTTAGAATTTCTTTACTGTCTTTGACTAGATCTTTGCCTGGGTAAGTCTCTGAACAAGATTTCCCACACTGGTTGATATCTGGATGGGGAAGTATAAAAGGGGAAAAACCTTGGTCCTAATTCAATAATGTTATTAAATACAAGAGAGAAACAATCATTTCTCTCACTGCCTATTAGATATTTTGAATGGGATGTTCCTCTAGCATCTCAAATTCAAAATGCCCAAAAAAGAACTCATCTTTTTCCCCAAACCTGCTCCTCTTATAAACTCCTTTGTTTCTATTGAGTGCATTACTATCCCTGTGGTCACCCAGGCTTAATCAATCCACATATCCAATCCCTTGTCAACCATCGCCCTTTGTTACCTCTACCACTTCTTACAGTTGTCTCTTTATTTCCACCCACTTAGCCATCACCCTCTTTAAGGAACTCATCGCTTCCCAGTTGGAGTACTACAGTGACCTCTTTATTGGTCTTCTTGCCTCAAATCTCTCCAACCTCAAATCAATCCAACCTCCACACAGCTGCCAGCATGGTTTTCCTAAAGCACAGTTCTGATGATAACTCTCCTTTTCAACAAATTCCAAGAGCTTTCTACCACCTCTACGATCAAAGGTAAACTCTGAGTTTGAAAGCCCTCCACAACCCGGCCCCTTTCTACGTGCCTTGTTACACATTACTTTCCTTCACACTCCCTGTGACCCAGGCAAACTGGCCTTCTTACTGTTCCTCCTATTTGGCATTCCATTCTCAGTTTTCCAGCTGTTACCCATGCCTACAATGGACTCCTTCCTCAGCTCCATTTCCTAAAACCTCTGGTCTCCTTCAAGACCTTCTACATCAAAGATATTAGTGATAATGATAATGATGATGATGATGATGATGATGATGATAATTTTCTACCTCTAGGCTTCCCCGAAGTCCCACCTTCTACAGGGAAGCCTTTCCCAATTCCAGTGCTTCCCTTTGCAGATTATCTCCAATTTATCCTCTACAAAGCTTATTTGACCATAGTTGTTTGCATATTATTTCCCTCATTTGATTGTGAGTTTCTTAAGGGCAGGAACTTTCTTTTACCTTTCTTTGTACCTCAAGCATTTAGCACACAGTAGGAGCTTAATAAATTTATTATATTTACTGACTTATACATGATGACTTAGCTGATCCCCAGCTTTCCTCACACAGTTACCTTGCATCTGTTTTTCTATCTATCTATCCATCTTATCTATCTCAGTCAGTAAACACAGGTATACATACATGCATATACACATACCCATATATATCCCCTAACAATTACCTTGCAACTATTTTGTATTTTGTATCTACACCCACATATGTGTCTATATAAACATCTATGTGTATATGGTACACTTGTACGTACATGCTCACACATACACACAATCATATAAGTACACACACATATCCATTCCACATATTGTACATATATATATATATATATATATATATATATATGTATGTATATGTATACGTACACGTGTTGTCCTCCAGAATGTAAGCCCTTTGAGGGCAGGGACTGATTCAGTTCTGTCTTCCTAACCCCAACAACCTTGCATAGTGCCCCGCACACAGGAGGTGCTTAATAAATACCAGTTGGTTGACTTACAATGCAAATAAAATGCTTTTCAATCCTTTAAGTACCACATAAATGTCAGTTCTTATTACTATTCCCACCTTCTCACCCCTCCCTAAGGGCCCGCTTCCTCCCCCCACCCCGATCGCAACGATACCATTGGTCACAGCAGCCACCGTCCGCTCTCTGATTGGCCGGAGCAGGCACCGGCCCTCCCTTCCCCCATTCGTCAGTCGATGAATTCCCGTCTAAGGCCCATTGGCTGTTCCGCACTTGGGCACTCATTGGTTACGAGAGCGAGCTGGAGGTAACAAGACGGGAGGTGAAGGCTGCTGGGCAAAGAAGGAGGGAAGGAAGAAGAGTGAGGGGCTCGCCGTTGCCGTGGTGACGCCCAGGCACGTGTGCAGTCCCGGAAGTGGCTCCAGGAAGCGGCCGCACGGTGGGGGGGGAGGAAGTGCCGGCCCGGCCCGGCCATGGAGCGGCCGCTGCCGCCGCCGCCGCTGCCCGCGCCCCGGTCCCGGCCCCGCCGCCTCCTCCTCCTCCTCCTCCTCCTGCTGCTGCTGCTGCTGCTGCTGCTCCCGGCCTCCGAGCTGGGCGCCTCGGCTGAAGAGGCCGATTGGGTCCGACTGCCCAGCAAGTGCGAGGGTGAGGGGGGTGGGGTCGGGATGGTGGGGAGGGTGAAGGAATGTGAGGAGGAAGAAGCGGAGCCTGATGTCGACGCGGAGGCGGGGCCTGAAGGGAAGGGGAGGGGCCTGTTGGGGAGGGGCGGGACTTAGGGAAGGGGCTGTGCTAGGAGGCAAAGGGAGAGGAGATATAGAGTAGGGGTTAGTGCCCGGCACTTAGTAGGTGCTTAATTAGCCATAGTTGCATTAACTAATGAGGAGAAAATAAATGGAGAGGGGCAAAGGATCTCAGGCAGAAAAGGGAAAGCACTAGGTAGTCCCCTGGACCTAGAGTTAGGAAGACCCGAGTTCAAATCTTGTCCCTGACACTTACTAGCTGTGTGACCCTGGGCAAGTCACGCAACCACTGTCTGCTTCAGTTTCCTCATCTATGAAATAGAGATAATAATAGCACTTACTAATCAGGGTTGTTGTGAGGATCAAATGAGACAGTAATTGTAAAACTTAGCAGAGTGCCTGGCACATAGTAAGTGCTATAAAAGTGTTAGCTATCATTATTATTAAAAATAATAATGAAAAGAGAAGAGAAGGAAAGTTTGAAGTTCTAAAAGCTAGCTGCCTGTCTACTTTGGTATCACTTTGGTGATCAGTTCTTCCAGGAAATCTTCCCTGATTCCTCCAGGCATGGGCTTAAGTCCCTACACTACTGATTACTGGCCAGGTGACCCTGGGAAGTTCACTTGACTCCTCTGGGCCTTATTTTCCTCACAAATAAAGTGAAAGGATTGTCTAGATCATCCCTTCCAACTCTAATATTCGTTTGATTTATTTTATAGCACATTCTACTATTGAGCAGAGTTATCTTTGTACATATCGTATAGTAAACACTTTGAGGGCATGTTCTCATCTATGTCCCAGTGCTGAGGACAGCTCCTGGTGTATAGTAGGCATTTAATGAAAATTTGATGAATTGAATTGAGAATTGCACTCCCACTACTTAGACATTTATTAAGTATTTACACCACCATGCTAGATCCCAGGGGAGATAGAGATTAATGAGACGATGTATCTGTCCTCAGAGATGTTCTAAACTTGTAGATAAGGCTCTCACTTGTTTCCTTCCTTTCCACTTTCTCAACTTAGAATATCTCACTTCACTTGTTTTTGCTCTCCCCTCAGCTCTCTCCCTTTCTAGGGTCATGGATCCTTCCATCTGTCCTACCTCCCTTGGCGAGGTAGGGCCCTTTGTGGTTTCACTTCCTCTTCCCACTCTTTTCTGCCTTATCGTGAAACTGAAGGGCCCCAAGGGCCGTTTCTCTTTTTCTCTTTACTCTCACTTTAAGTTCATGGTCTAAGAAAGAGGTCAAACTTTTCTCCTAACGGGGAGAATCAGAGAATTTTAGAGCTAAAAGTGAATGTATAAGAAAGAATACTGGATCAGGAATTAGAAGACCTGAGATTAAGTGATGGATATGTTCTGAGAAGTAAATCAGTTTACTTCTCTGAGCCTCAGTTTCTTCATTTGTAAAATGGAGCTAAGACAGTAACCCTGCCTACCAGCAGGGTTGGTGTAAGGGTTGTATGAGACAATGTATATGAAAGTACTTTGTAAGCATTTTGCTTTACCAATACAAGATAAATTTGAAGTTCAATGTTTATTGTTAAGTGGATACAAAATGGATACACAGATACTGTTCTCAAAGACTCTAAGATCTAATGGGGGAAGGATAAATTTACACAGTAAGGATGAAACAGAGAGAAGAGGAGACTAGGCAAAGACACTTGAGGAGGGAAAGTTCATTTTAAGTAGAATTGGGGTAGGGGTGACCCCTGAATTGGGCCTTGAAGGTAAGAAGAGACTTAAATACATGGAAATAGGGGAGAGGAAGAGTCCATTACGGGCATGGGCATGGGGTAAGCCAGAGGTGTCAGAAGAAAGGAGTTTAACAAAATAAATAATACTGTAAAACATAGGTAATGTTAATTTGTGGTCTTCTAAGCCCTCTGGGATTTGTTACTATTTGAGTTTGACACCAGTGGTATAAACAGAGGCAGGGAGATGAGAAAGGACATGATGGGAATTGAGGAGGAGGAGGAGTAGCCTAGTTTGGCTGGAGTATAGACTACACAGTGGGAAGGGGGATAGTATAATGTTGGAAAGGTAGGTTGGAGCCAGATTGTGAAGGGCCAAGAATACCAGAATGGGGAGGGTGTGCTTTTATTTGGTAGATGGCCTTGGTTGTTATTATCTATCCTCCTCATTTTATAGATGATTCAATAAAGACAGTTAGAACTGCTGCACGTTGACTTGGCAAATTCCAGCCCTCAGGCTTCTCTTTACTATGCTATTGTTAATAATAATTTTATACTCTTATATAAATGTTTATTGTGCCTGGCCAACAGAGCTGGGCTTCTGGCCCAGTAGCCTGAGAGAGACAGGTCTCAGCACATGAGAGGGTTGTGCAGCTGCCCAGGAGGGGTATGGGTGGGTGGATGGCTGTGAGTTTCTGGGTTCCATGCCACAGGCCTCCCCAGATCTGGTTCTGGGTGGGATCCCCAGAGGGGCTCCTTAGGTGGTGAAGTTTGGAGGAGTTGAGGAGCTGGCTTATGGTTGGATGGGTGGTAGAGTAGGAGGGTATTCCAAACCCCCAGGCCTTTCAGAATTCACGCAGAAGGCGTGGGAGAAGGGGGCAGAGAAGCCAGAAAGATGATGTGCTTTCTTGGAGTGAAGGGATCAAGTTGGAGAATGTAGGAAAGTAGACAGCAGATGGCAAGGAATGGAGAACTAGGGAGGTAAGCTGTAATTTAAATTCAGACTCTTAAAGAACCAGGTTATTTGATGAAATTATTCAAGAATCATTTCTTTATGTCCCTAGGTAGTCTCAAAGCTATTAGTTAATGCGTGTAATAGAAAATATCATCATGTGACTTTCCAGGGCATGTTATTTGTCACTGGTAAACTGGTTTTCCACCAGCCTTTGCCATCAATATTTTAATTGTAATGAGGCTCAAGGCCATATTGTGTTAAAGGGGTATGAGGACCTGCTTAGCCCGTAACCAAATGTTAAGTCATTTTGTCCTCCTATCAACAATATTTATTACTTACTGAATACCTATTGCATAATGGTCACAGTGAAAAAGATAGAAAGAAATAGAAAATAAAGGCCTTAATCTTGAGGCGCTTATAGCCTGGAGGGGAGGAGGAGACATGAGACAGGAGCCCAAGATATTTAAAAAGCATCATTCAAGTGAGGCCAAATGAAGAGATTCATACTGAATACTTAAGTGTTGAAGGGACCCTAAATAATCAATCAGAAAATCAATAAGCATTTATTGAACTCCCACAATGTGGCAGGTACTATGCTAAGCACTGGGGATGTAGGGAGTGGGGGGCAGCTGGAGGGAAGGCAAAACCTCTACCCTCCAGGAGCTTCCATTCAAATGGGGAAAGGAACATGTTCATAACCATATGTAAAACAAGTACTAAGTAACCTAATGGGGAAGTAGCAGCAGCCAGGAGGACAAGAAAGGGCTTCCTGCAGAAGGTGGCACTGGAGCTGAGTTTTGGAAGAAATCAGGGGTCCCAAGAGAAGGGGGTGAGGATGGGAATGTTTCTGGCAGAAGAATGTTCCAGGCCCGAGAACAGCCAAGCATCAGGGCATAGAAATGAGAGATGGAGTGTCTTATGAGAGTAAGAAGGCTGATATGACTGGACTAGAGAATGCATAATAAGGCAGGAAAGGTAGGAGGGGTTGTAGATTGTAAAGAACTTTAAATGCTAAACATGGTCATTTGAGCCTGGAGATAATAATGAAGAGCCACCAGAGTTGATTGAGAAGTGGAGTGACATGATCAGATCTGTGCTTTAGGAAAATCACTTGGTAATTGATATAATGGCGAGGTGAGAATCAAGTAGGTTAATCCAAAGAAAGCGTTTCTTAGAGACTAGGGATTTTGAAGAAGATACTGAATGTGGATTGGGTAACATGTGCAAGATAGTGTTTTCATCAAAAAGGAGGTTGGAACAGACTTATTATGTGGGGGATAAGCAGCAAATTTGCTTGACTGGAGTAAGGAAATGACAAGAAATATTAGATAGGCACTGAAGGGAACTTGGAATATGGGTCAGAGGATGAGGATGTGATGTATTTCATCTGAGAGTCTAGAACCAGCTCCTTTTGAATGGTCAGAGGAGTCAGCTTGTTTCCAGGAGTGGTGGGTAGGGAAGAGTCTTGGGTTTGCCTTGGCTGGGCAGTGCCCCTGAAGTGGCATCCATTCACCCACTTGTGCTCTGCCTCTTTCTCCTAGTGTGCAAGTATGTAGCTGTGGAACTGAAGTCAGCTTTTGAGGAAACAGGCAAGACCAAGGAAGTGCTGGACACAGGCTATGGCATCCTAGACCAGAAAGCCTCCAGAGTCAAATATACCAAATCGTAAGTGAGCAGTGGGTTCATAAACCTGCCTTGGTCTGTTCGTAGAGATGACAGGGACTCGGAGTTTTCTCTCTGACCCCCTCCCATCTCCTAGGAGAGAACAGTGGCACACAAGGCCGTGTAGTGGAATGGAAAGAACATTGACTTAGAAGTCCAGAGAGTTGAGTTTTGGTTCTGGTTCTGCCACTAACCAGTTGTTTAACCTTGAGCAACTGATTTCCCTTCTGTGGGCCTCAGTTTCCTTATCTATAAAAGGAGAGGGTTTGACCAGATGGTCTCTCTAAGGCCTCTTCTCGCTCTGGCATTCTATGATTCTGTGATCCCCCAGGCAGGAAAAACCTGTCCCCATTCCTCTGGTGGCAGCAGCAGGGGCCATCTGGAAGCGGGTGGGGAGATCACTACCCTTTGTGTTGGCATTTCTTCAGGGATCTTCGGTTAATTGAAGTAACTGAGACCATCTGCAAGAGACTTCTGGACTATAGCTTGCATAAGGAAAGGAGTGGCAGCAACCGGTTTGCTAAGGTTAGTGTCATGCCCTTCATTCCCTCTGAGTCCAGTCGGTGTCTCTGTGTGTGTGTGTGTGTGTGTGTGTGTGTGTGTGTGTGTGTCTGTCTGTCTGTCTCTATGTTTGTCTGTGTGTGTGTCTGTGTGTGGATCTGTGTGGGTGTGCAAACCTTGGGAGGTCTTATTTCCTGAAACTGGCCCTTACGTGCTCTTTATCAGTTTCTGTTTGTACTCTCTGTTTAACCCTCTCAGCCCCACCTTTTATAGATGAGATTTGTGTTCATCTCACTGACTGACATTAGGGAGATTCCCAAGGGCCTGACAGTGGTGATCAAGATCCCTGAAGCCCCAGTGGCAGAAATAGTCAGAACCACCTATTGGTGGTGGGAGATTATGCCAGCTTCCACACTTTTAGAGCTCTTCAACATTGACTAAGTCTTGATCGAGAAAGGAGACACTGAAGTATTATCAGCAAGAGGTTTAGGGAATAGGAAGGGCAGCCTTTGAGTGAGGAGTTTGGGTTGAGGCTAGGGAGTGAAGATAGGAGTAAGAAGTCACAACTGCTGATCAGGAGAGCCCAGGAAGAAGGCCAAAGTCAAGGCCAGCAGCAAGATAGAGAGGAAGTAATAAGGGTAGAATGTGAAAGGCCCCGTTAGCATTGTTGCTGAGTGACTCCTGTTCAGGTGTGTGCCAGATTAGATGCTCTCGGAGGCCCCAGCAACTCTGAGATACTGTGATTTTGTGGTCCTTGCAGCCTGACATAAAAATGTCTTATTACCTTGACCTGGTAGATCTTTTCTGGTACTTTCAAGGGTTGAAAAGGGCAGGTGGACTGATTCCCTTATGTTTCTTCTTCTTAGGGCATGTCTGAGACTTTTGAAACACTTCACAACCTAGTCCACAAAGGGGTGAAGGTGGTGATGGACATTCCCTATGAACTGTGGAATGAGACTTCGGCTGAGGTAGCTGACCTTAAAAAGCAGGTATGTGCCCAGGGAACTCCCCTGCCTACTCTCAGTGTCATTCCCTCCACTTCTGCAAATTTTCATAGAGGATTTTGTTTGGATTTCTCCACTTTTCACTTCATTGTATACTTATTTGTGCATGATTCCTCCATTTCCTTTAATTTTTGTATCTCCTCAAGAACCTAACAGTACGCTGCATGTAGAACCAAGTAAGTGTGGAATCGGATTATTACATTTGATACCATCATAGCAGGATAGAGTGTAGGAGATGAACTTGGCCTATCTCCTGGGGAAAGGACAGGGCATGAGTTCCTGAGTCCTCAGGCCCCTCAGTGCCACCATTTTAGTCTCTGCCAGTGAGTCCCTCTTCCACATCAGGAGCAGGGGTCCATGTAGATTAGAAGCATGAGCCTCCCTAGAAAATATCTTAATGTGGCCCTGCCAACAGAGATTTCAAGTGGATTTGTTAGTGGTAGTGGTCTATAATGTCAGTATCCCTTCCTGAGGCTCTTAGATAGGCCTAGGTTTCCTTTATAAAAATGAAGAAATTGGACTAGCTGATTCTGAGGACTCTTCCAGGTGTGACATTCTACGTTATGTGTATCTGTCTCTGTTGGCTTCTGCCTTAGTGCGATGTGCTGGTGGAGGAATTTGAGGAAGTGATTGAGGACTGGTATCGGAACCACCAGGAAGAAGACCTAACCTCTTTTCTCTGCGCCAATCATGTGCTAAAGGGGAAAGATACAAGTGAGTGTGAGCTGAGGCTGGGGCTGGGGATGTGGGGAGACTCAGGTTAGTTACCCCTAATAGAACACCTGAGATTGGTGAACCCTGGGAAAATAGGGGTGGGGATCTCAGATAATAGAGATCTTGTCCTTGGGGGCCTTGATTATTTGGGGAGGCTACAGTTCCTCATGGCTTTGAAAAAGATGCAGAATGTTTTCAAAGTAGAATCCAGATGGCACTTTGTGGCACTTTTTTGTTTCTCCAGCAAGTGTGTATTTATTACCTGTTACTACATGGAAGATACTCTACTAAGGATACAAAGACAAAATAAAAAACAATTGTGGCCTTTAAGGGGTTTACGTTATACATTATTCTTTGCAAAATTCCTTTCTCACTATCCAGTAAGGTAAAGAGTGTAAATATTTTTAAAATTAAATTTTGGTGAGGTTTTTTTTTATCAAGAATTCATTTTTTTTCCTCTGTTCTGCCCCTCCTCCCATTGGAAAAACAAAGAATAATAACCCCAAAAAGCTCTTGTAATAAATAAGCACGGTCAAGCAAAATTGGTCCAAGCAGGGGTATGCTGGCTGTGTCTAAGAACGTGCCTGTTCCACGTAGTAGTCATCATCTCCCAGGCCTGAGGTTGGTAGCGTGATGAGGATCAGGCTTTGAAATCATGCTCTTACGGTTTTCCCCATTTTATACATAAAGAAACTGAGGCTTGGAGAGATTAAGTAAATTGCCCAGCATCACACAGCTAATGAACATTGGGGCTGGGATTCGATTGTTGCTGGTTGTCAGAGCATCTTGTCCCTTCCTCTCTCCTCTCACCAGGTTGCCTGACAGAGCAATGGATCAACAAGAAAGGGGACACAGCAGCCCTGGGAGGGAAGAAAGCCAAGAAAAAGGGGGGCAAAGGCAAGGTGTCCAACAAGAAGAACAGCAAGCAGAGGAAGGATCCAAGAAACCTAGATGAGGACCCTCATCCCGAGGAGGATGAGGGCGTCCAGAAAGCCACCCCTCTTACACACAGCCCCACCGATGAACTGTAGAATCCAACCATGCACCCCACCTACTGCCCCAGGGGTGCAGAGGGAAGCCCTTGGCTGAGGGAGAATCTTATTTTCTCTTGTGCCTCTGGCAGACAAGGATGGACTCCCCGGCTGTGGGGGTTCACTGCACCCCCTGCTGTGCCCTTGTCTCGCTGAGGATTACAAAGCCTGCCCTTCCTTTTCCCTTCCTGGCAGCTGCTTCTCCCCTGGGCTTGGAAGAAGAGCTGTGTGGTGGCCCCAGAGCTAAAAACTGCATTGTAAACCTTCGAGGGATGGGTCTGAGCATTGCCGAGCCCTCAGGGAGGACTCCATCCCTCATTGTCCCATTGGTGCACCCCCACCTTCTTCCAGTGGGGGTGGTTCAGCAGCACCACTCCCCCTGCATCAGAAACACCTCTCTCCTGGCCCCAGTCCTACCAGGAAGGCCTTCCTCACCCTAGTCCTGGTTGAGGCCGTCTTCCCCAGGGCTCTAGCCTCCCCCCCCCAGCCATGTGATGCCCAGTCTCTACCCCTCCCCAACCCATTTTACTGCACAATGTGCAGAGTAAAAAATATTTGGCCTTTTTACTCTGTGTCCTAACACCCTTTTCTGTGCCTCTCAACTGGCTTTGCTCCCATTCTTCTACCCAGAATTCATGGGACTTGGCATAAGGATGGTGCAAAGGGTAGCAAACCCTTTTTGGCCCTTCATTTCCCACTTACTCTGGGGGGTTCTCACAAGCTGATCTGGAAGAGCAAAAGCAAAGAGGAAATCCTGGGAAGCCTAAGAGCAGTGCAGAGATTGTGCATGGGGGGATTAGGGGGGAGGGGAAGGTAGAGAGTGCTGGGAGGAGGCCTCCAGTGGCCACATTTTAACCTGGTTGGATGGAGGTTGTCCTCATCCCTGTTCAGCTTCACATCAGCCCCTACCCTGATACAGCCGGGCCTTGAAAAGTGACTGCAACAAGGACATTTATAAATACCCAATTCTAGAGTAATAGTCAAAAGGCCAGCTGCCTTTGTTCCCATTCGACTTCCTGGAGCCCTTTCCTTTTCTGCTGTAGAATTTGATAGTCTTCCCAACGCCCTGGCACCAGGCTCCCTTTGTTCCTATTTTCCCTTCTGCCTGGTCATCCTTTGGCCATCCTTTACGAAGCTGTTCACTCCTGTCCTGCCCCCCAGTCCCTCTTTTGTGATTCCAGGCTTTGTGTAACTTGTTTACTGCTTCCCCTCATCAGGGCTGCCGCTTGCCATTGAACTTTGTTCTGTGTTCCACTCCCCTGTTTTTTTTCTGTACCTTTTGAATGTACCATGTAGGATTCCCTCTCCTCCCCCACCCCAGCCAACACCTGCTCCTTACATGATGTCCTCTGAAGTTAGGGGAGGCAAATGGGGCCCTTTTTGTCCCTCCCTTGCTAGTCCTGAAGGAGCAGCTGGGCCCAGGGCCTCCAGCACCTGGCACTAACGGTGCAGGGTACAGTTGGTGTGGAACTGGTTTGATTTCTTCTCCCACATCTCCCCTTTAAAAAGGAAGCAGCCATAAGGGGCAGCTAGATGGCACAGTGGATAGAGCACCGGCCCTGAAGTCAGGAGGACCTGAGTTCAAATCCGGCCTCAGACACATAACACTTACTAGCTGTGTGACCCTGGGCAAGTCACTTAACCCCATTGCCAATAGCAAAAAAAAAAAAAGGAGCCATTATCTAGGATGAGGAATATTGAAGAACTCTTCACTATAGTTGCTCCCTTCTCAAATTTAGAGCTGAAAATAACCCTACTTTCTCCTATCACCAGCCAGCCTAAGTCCAGGCCCATTGGCCAACAAATGGACATCACTAAGAAGCATCTGGTGGAGTAGGGGTTTGTGAACTAGTTAGTCCCAGCATCCAGCCGCGCTCTCAACTCCAGGAAGAGTTAAGGCAGCTTTGGCCTTGAGAAATGGAAGCATTTTGTCTTCTCTGGCCATTTCTCCTGCCACAGACTGTAGAAAAGCAGAACCTGGCCTTGGAGATTACTTCTGCCACAGCCCTGCCCCCCTTGTCACCCACCCCACCCCCAGCTCTCCTCACATCCTAGGTCAGATAGGACCCAAAGTGGATCTTTTTCTAAGGTGGCCAGAACTGGTTAAATTTCCCCGTAGGGTTGGAGTTTAGCTCTTTTGGACTTCAATGCCTAGGGCTGACACTTGGAACAGAATTGAGGGTAGAGTAGGAAGAGGACTGAGACTGGGCATGATTTAAGTGACTCACATCCTTGTCCCTCAACCTGTTTCTCTTGCCCATCAATATCTGATACCTTTCAGTTTCACTAGACAGGACTGTCCTTTGCAAAAGCTTCACAGAGAGAGCCTGTCCCTCTATATCCAGAATTTATTTCATTGATTTCTTCAGCAGAGGTTTGGCCTATCTCTGGGGTGGCAGCCAGGCTGCTCAATCCTGTGTAGCGGAGTCTGACCCTGAACTTTTCCCCTTAATAGCCAGCCTATCACTGTTGTTCCTTTGGTGTTTCAGCTGGCAGGGTCCCTTCCTCCTCTCCTATGTGCATAACATGCTCTCTGACCTCTGCCCTACCTCCCCTCCATCCACATCCTGGGATCATTGGACGACCTGGTAACACAATGATTGTTCTGTGTCTGCCACCCTTGCCCACTAAGCATTTGAGTACACCCTTCCATTCCCCATGCCTACCCCACCCAGTTCTGTATCCCGCTCCCACCAGATTTAAAAAAAAAAAGTGATGTTGAAGCCAAGACTTCAAGCCAGTTCTGCTCACTCCAAATCCGGTGTTCTAAAGATGACTGGTGGTTCCATGCCAATCCCCCACTCCCCAATCTTGAGCCCAGCTCACCCGTATAGACTCTGCTATCTTGGGCCAACTCGTCAGTGCTCTGGCAAAGGCAGAAGCTGGGAGCTGGTTTGCTGTGCTAGACATATAAGGAATTGGGCTAATTGCTTTTCATAATAGCTACCTCCAAGTATGGGGGTACATGGAGTGGGGAAGAGTTGTGAGGTGACTGGAGATAGGATATATGATCTGACCTAACTGTGGTTCATTAATCCATCCCCCTTCTAATCTCTTATCTGTATTCCTGCTTCATGCCTGATGCCTAAGTGGACAAAGACATGAAGGACATGAAGTTAGCCCTTGACACACAGCCTGATCCCTCCTAGCTGAGATCTTGGGAGAGTTATTTGTTTGCCTTTCCTTATCTCATCCTTGGTTCCCAGAAGCCCAGAAGTTTCTCTTCTCCTTGGATACCTGGGATCGAGTTGGAGGGGAGACCTCCCACATAACATGCCCCTCTCTTGCTAGGGGTTAGGGAGGTGGGGTAGGAGGAAGGCCATTCACAGGGCCTGGGAGGTCAGAAACAGCGGGTTCCTAGCTTGGCGAGAAGAGCAGACAGGGGCGTGTCCTGGATCTTACCTGCCATTGGACAGGTTAGGCAGGCTGTGCAGAAAGAGCCAGGGCAGCCTTATAAGTATTTCGGCAGGTGGCTGAGGTGCCAGGTGGAACTGAGAGGATGGTAGACAGTGTGTATCGGACCCGCTCCCTGGGAGTGGCAGCTGAGGGGCTCCCGGACCAATATGCCGATGGGGAGGCAGCACGGGTCTGGCAGCTGTACGTAGGTGACACCCGAAGCCGTACAGATGAGTACAAGGCCTGGCTCCTGGGGCTGCTGCACCAACACGGCTGCCAACATGTGCTCGACGTGGCTTGTGGCACCGGGTAAAGTTGGGCAAAGGGCAGGAGGTAGGGGTGGACACCAGGGCTACAGAACTATTAGGCAAAAAGGCCAGAGCAGAATGCTCCTGAGGCAGAGGGGAGCTAGGTGGAAAAAGCAGGTCCCCGCCCAGGCAGAGTCACCAGGAATTGGGTAGAACTCACACTGGAAGATATCTCTTTGGGAATGGGAACAGGGAAAACGGAGTGGGTGAGGGTGGCAAAAACGGACATGGATGTATGTGGGATAGGCATGAATTGTGGGGATGCACATAAGAGTGCAATGGGGTGAGCTGGAAGTGAGGGCATGGTGGGAAACAGACTAGGAAGGTGTCAGAGGAACTTTCTAAAAGTAAAATGGGTTGTCTTTCTGGTGGTTGTGAGAAAGGAAGTCACTTGGGGAGTCATGGGTTGAACTGGATGACTTCTGGGTTCCCTTCCAATTCTGAGGTTTTTTGATTCAGTGAGTTAAAAGAACAGTGTGTATGTGCATGTGTGTTTGTGTGTGTGTGTATGTGTGTAGGGAGTGGGGGTCAATGTCAGGGGTAACTCGTTCACAAGTACTGGGTTCCTTCTTCTGGGTCTTCCTGGTCCCCAGTTCTTCCTTTGACCCTCAGCCCCCATTCCAAAAATGGCCTTCCTATCCTTACACTTCCTAAACCCTGCTTGTCTCCATCACTCCTCTCTACACTTCTCCCCTCTCCCTCAAACCTTTCCCTTTCTAATCCATCTTGTCCTCATTCTCCCCATCTTCTCTGGCCCACCTTCTCTTCCCTTCCCCCCAATCCTGTCATTGTCTGCTGGACCTGGCACAGGGTGGACTCCATCATGCTAGTGGAAGAGGGCTTCAAAGTGACCAGTGTGGACGCCAGTGACAAGATGCTCAAGTATGCCCTGAAAGAACGATGGAACCGTCGTCACGAAGAAGCCTTTGACAAGTGGGGTATGTGGGACTGGGTGACGATCTTGGCACAGGAACAGAGGGGCCGTACTGAGAACTAGCATCCTTCACATACTATCCTCTGAAACACACTGAACTAGGTGTCAGAGGACCTCGGCTCTAGTTCTGGTTCTGCCATTACTTGCTGTGTGATTCAGAGCAAGTCACTTCTGTCTGGCCTTAGTTTTTTCCTTTGTAAAACAATGGTGTAGGAATAGGTAGAATAGTGGAGCATTGAGGGAGTGTGGTGGATTTAGTGAGGAAGACTGGGGCAGGAATCCTGCTATGGGCTCTTACTAGCTGTGTGACCCTAAACATCACCCAGGGGTGGGGACCCTGCAGCCTCAAAGCCCCATATGGCCCTTCAGGTCTTCAAGGTTGGCCCTTTGACTGAATCCACACTTCACAGAACAAATCCCCTTAATAAAAGGATTTGTTCTATAAAACTTGGACTCAGTCAAAAGGCTGCACCCAAGGATCTAGAAGGCTACATGTGGTCCCCAGGCTGCAGCAAAACCTTTCCATGCCTCACTTTCCTTCCTATAAAATGGCCTCCAAGATCCCTGCCAGTTCTAACCCAAAATTCTATGACCAGATGATCTAACTTTCCTTTTAGCTCTTAACACTATGAGTCTGCAAGTATTTGTCGCTTCTTCCTATTCTCTAACCTTTTCTGCTCGTAAGTCATGCCTTAATTTTGTTCTGGTTTGATTTCTGTTTTTCTCTTCACTGTAGCTTCTCTTCAGGGGCTCATCTCTTAAGGTCAGGGACCTATGGGCTTATTGTCTCTTTCTGAGGTTGACTTCAAAGCCAAATCTTCTTGAGGCAAACCACAGGGATCTGTTCCTTGCCCTTAGCCCTCTATTCTTCTCCAATCCTCTTCATTTTCCCTGAGGTTTGGGTCCCCTAAACCTCATGCCACTCCTCCCTGCTTTGGTAGCATGGGGCACTGGGCATCAGGCTGATTTACCATTTACTCAGTTCTGACATTGGGACAAATCTCTCAATCTTCTTGAGCCTCAGTTTCCTCATCTGCCAAATGTCACTACTAATCACTGCCCTGCATGTTTCATAAGGCTGTTAGAGGGACTGAAAGAGAAAACAATAATGTGGAAAATGCTTTGCAAACTAGAAATGCTATCCAGATACAAGGAGGCATTGTTATTCTTGTCCTGTTTGACCAGGGATGGTCAGATGTAAGGACTAACACTCAGCAGGTCAGGCAGCCTCTTACAGGGTGGGGGGACAGCAAGCAGTCACAGCCATCTGCTTCCTGTAGGTGTGACAGCCCAGTGAGAACCAGTAGGGAGGGAGAGGGGTAAGGAGATCTGGACCTTGTGGCAGAGGAAATAATGAAGGGGATGGTGATTGTTCCCCTCCTTTCATGGCAAAGCAGCTCCCTCTCTGACTCCCCCCAAAGGAATAGCAGGGGAAAATAGGTGGTAGGGTCTGGGAATGGGAAGCAAAGGGGTGACAGTGTAACTGCTCTTCCAGCTCTACTGGATCTTTGCCTGGCACTCTGAGGAACCAAGGGGGCTCAGCAGCCATCACCTATCTCCCTCAGATCCCTTCTCACTGGCTCTGCCCTTCCCCAACCCTCCCTGTGGGGGTCCCCTCTACTTTTGTGTCCCTAGATACTTACCTTAGTCCAGGGGTTTGCTAATATTTAATAAACTCTGGGAGCTTACACTCAACACCCTTTTAGGTTTAATCATAGTTAGCATTTTCTCCATCACTTTAAGTCTAGACAATCAACAAAACAATAAACCAAATCCAGATTGGTGTCATTTGCCAATTTCTGGGTTGTGTTCACGCCAAAAATTTAACAACAGCCAGTGAGAGCTCCGATATACCCTATGCCTTGTACCCTTGGTGGGATCCATATATGTCTCTCTCCCCCTCTCCCCCCACTGAAAAATAAAAGAGACCACGTGGCTGCTGGCCTTCTCTTCAGGACTACAGGGGAAAGCTTGTGTTTCAGTTTGTTGGCCAAGGTGGAACATTTCTGGTTCCCATGGAAATGGTGCCATCCTCTTCTCTACTCCTCTATTCCCTCAGTCATTGAAGAGGCCAACTGGCTGACCCTGAAAAAGGATGTGTCCCTGCCAGCAGAGGGGGGCTTTGATGCTGTTATCTGCCTAGGGAACAGTTTTGCCCACTTGCCAGACTGCAAAGGTGAGAAATAGGGTTATAGCTTTTTTTCCTAAGGTTACCTTCCCAACAGATTAGTCCCCCTCCCAATTACTGATTGCTCCCTTGACCTCCCCATCTTCTCTGGCCCACCTTCTCTTCCCTTCCCCTTCCCCCCAATCCTGTCATTGCCTGCTGGACCTGGCACAGGGTGGACTCCATCCTCTTAATTATATTCTCTCCCCCACAGTCCAGGTCTCCTTACACACACACATACACACACTCACTCCTCTTCTCCTCAAAGCATTCTGCCAAAACATAATTCTCATTCCTTGTGTCCTTCCCTGTCCTGGGCCCAAAGGGCCAGTAAGGGTGAGTCAGGGAAGAGAGGAAGGAGCTGTAGCAGTGAGAATCTTTTTCTCCCCTTGTTCTGAGCTCAGGTGACCAGAGCGAGCATAAATTGGCCCTAAAGAACATTGCAGGTATGGTTCGGCCTGGAGGGTTACTGGTTATTGACCACCGAAACTATGACCACATTCTCAGCACTGGCTGTGCCCCATCTGGCAAGAACATCTACTATAAGGTGTGGCTCCTGGGAGGGGATGGGTGGATGGGTGTTGAGCAGCAAAAGTCACAGAAGTCAGTACTGCAATAGGAGCAAATGCATAGAAATGAGGAGCTAGGGAGGGGGGACAGTTAATAAACATTTATTGAGTGTGCCAAGCATTGTGCTAAGAACTGAGGATACAAAGGGAAAGCCAGTCCTGCTCTCAAGGAGTTCACATTCCAATGAGGGAGACAACCTGTGATTAATTAGGTACATAGAAGACACATACAGAGTGGATAGAAGGTAATCTGAGAGAGGTAGGCACTACCACGTGGGGGAATGGGAAAGGCCTCTGGCAGAAGGTTGGATTCTAGCCCAGTCATGAAGGAAGCCAGGGAAGCTAAGAGGCTGAGGTGAAGGGCAAAGCATTCCAGGCCAAGGGGGCCAGCCAGTGTAGAGGTACAGAGATGGTTGATAGTGTTCTATTGAAGATCTATGAGTCAACAGGCTGGGCTGTGGTTTGTTGAGGGGGATAAGGTAGAAAAGTGGAAAAGTAGGAAGGGGCTGGGGTATGAAGTGTTTTATATGCCAACTAGAGAACTTTTTTTTTTTTTTGAGGCAATCACGGTTAAGTGACTTGCCCAGGTCAACAGCTAGTAAATGTAAGGCTGAATTTGAATTCAGATCCTCCTGACTCCAGGATGGATGCTCCATCCACTTCGCCACCTAGCTGCCACAGAACTTTATTATTTGATACTGAAGATAACGGAACCACTGGTGCCCACAAAGCAGGAAGGTAACAGGGAGAGAAGCATACTTTTAAAAAAATCACTTTGGCAGCTAAGTGGAGAGATGAGGCAGGAAGATGAACCAGGATATTGCAGTTAGTTGTGGCTGTGTGGAAAAGGGACGTGGTGAAGGTAGAAATGACAAGATGCAACAGACTGTACATTATGGGGCGAGAGTGAAGAGTTGAGGATGACATCAAGGCTGTGGGCTTGGTTGACTGGAGGACAACAATGTCCTTAAGACTAATAAGGGAGGGTTTAGGGAGCAAGTTTTGTTCTAGACATGCTGTCTGAGATGCCTGTGGCACATACATTTCAAGATGTCCAAAAGATAGTTGGTGATGCAGACTAAAAATGGATGTACAAATCTGAGAGTCACAGAATGACAGATTTGGCGCTAGAAGGGGTGTGAGAGGCCATCAAATCCAAACCCTTCATTTTATAGATGAGCCATAGAGAGGTGACTCTTTAGTGTCACACAACCAGTATCTGAATTATCTGCAGATAAAAACTGAGCCCATGGGAGTAAAGAGATCACTAAGAGAGATATAGCAAAGAAGAGGGCCCAGGACAGTCTTGGTGGACACCCAACCGGGACTGAGCATAAGTGGATCCTTTTGAATGAGGCAGTAGAGTCCTAGGAAATGGACAGAGGAAATACATAGGAAGGAGGTAATTTATAAGAATTTCTATACAACAACCTATAAACAAGGTCAAGGCTTTTAGAAGGGAGTAAGCATGAGGAGGCCTGGGGTAGGAGACACTGAAAGCTCCCTTTTCTGCCATCCACAGAGTGACCTCACTAAGGACATCACTACATCAGTGCTGACTGTGAACAATAAGGCTCACATGGTAACCCTGGATTATACCGTCCAAGTACCTGGTGCTGGGCAAGATGGCAGCCTTGGCTTGAGGTACTCAGGCTTAAGAGGAGGGAGAGGGTGAAGCTTGGGCTCCCCCAATCCTGGACACGTTCGTCTGGTTCATCTTCCTCCATGGTTTCTAGGCAACTTTCAGGTCTAACCTGAAAGCCTACCGAGGAATCCCCATCCATATCCTTTGCCCCTATGCTCCCCAACCTGTTCTCTCTCTAGCTTCTCATGCCTGTCTACACTTTGGTCCTGTTGCAGTAAGTTCCGTCTCTCGTACTATCCTCACTGCCTGACGCCCTTCACAGAGCTTCTCCAGGAAGCCTTCCAGGGGCAGTGCCAGCATAGTGTCCTTGGAGACTTCAAACCTTATAAGCCTGGCCAATCCTCAGCACCATGCTACTTTATCCACGTTCTCAAGAAGACTGGATGAACCAGCACCAAAGCATTTCATAAACCCACCAGAGTCCTTCCAATAAACAGGATTAACCTACAAGGGAAAGTCTAGAATGGAGGCTTGTGAAGTCCTGAGGAGATGATGTGCCCTGGGCCTCATCTTTGGTCTGGGGACAAATAATATACAATCAGTGCCTTTTCTGTTTCTATGTGTGTTGAGAGCCCTTGCCCTCCCCTTAGGCCACTGAGACATCTTTCAGCTGCCCCCTCATCAGCTCCTCTCCAGATCCAGACCCTCTAAGCTTGCATCCCATCCTGCTCCATGGACAGAGAAGAGAGAGCTTGGGAATAATCGGTGTGGGGTTTGAATCATGGCATGGGACTTTGGACAAGTTGCTTAACTTTTTTTGAGGGCTTGGTTTCCTCATCTGTAGAGTGAGGAGGTTGGACAAGATTTCTCGGGTCTCTTCCAGCTATTAATTATATGATTCCTATTGTCACTTCTGATAACATCCATTGGTCCCAATTTCCCAAGGCCTTTGGGTCCCTGAGCTCCTGCCTCACCCCTATGACACCAGAAGAGGGCAGCACACACATATTTTCGGCTGGAATATAAAGAATAGATGGTGATAATGAATACTATTTCCAGCTCAGGGCTAAGTCCCCGGGACTCTTCCTCCACCTTCCTTTCTCTATGTCTGTCCCACCTTGGCCAAGCACATCTCTTTAAAATGTTTCACTGATATCTGAAAAAAACCAAACAAACTATCACTGCCACTTCCCACTGACTTTTTCTCCAAAGAACTCTCCATAGCAACAAAACACATAGGCCATATCTGCAAAGATGTCTCATCTTACACCTATAGTTTCTGACCAGAAACTGGGGAAGGCATGCTTCACCCAGGTCTCAGAAGTGATGACTGGTCACTCGACAGTAATGTATGGGGGCAGAATCTGAGCTCAAACTCCAACACTGGGCAAACACTATAAAGGATGAACTTGGGACAGTAGAATTTTCTGTCAGGTCCTATCACTCCCCACCTCCCCAGGTCCCTGCAGCCCTGACCTCTTAGTTTAGACCTCTGGTTTGACATTTGGTCTTCACACGCTTAGGTGACAGTGTCTTCCCTCCACAACAAGGTGGCAGAGCTGGGCAGGGAAGCTTCTCCAGGTTACGTGGCCTGAAGAGGACTGATTTGCACTGCCCAATCCAACTGGGTCACTGACTTTGTTCCAGGGCTGGTGGAGAGGATAGGGCTAGGGGTACAGCCCAAAGGGATCCTAGCAGGCTGCAAATTTGCGCTGGATGCGCTTGTAACGGAGTAGCTCCTGCTCAGAGACAGATGGCTGTAACTGGGCAGCAGCCTGGACCAAGTCTTCCATGGTAAGAAGCAGTGCTGAATTAGCTGGCTCCAAACCTGGGGGTGGGGGAAGAGAAAGAGAAGGGGAGTCAAGGAAGGAAGTCTTACTCTCCCTCTTAACTACGGCTGACAGAGGGGAAGGAAAGTAGAAAGGACAAGAATTTCAGCTGCCCTTGGAGCTCTAGGCCAATATCAGGAACTCCAGATACAGAGAAACATGGAGAGAGCTTCCCAGACTAAGGCCTAAACAGGACCTGAAAACAGGGGAAGGCAGGTACTCCAGTATTCTGTCTGGAGCATGGAATGGGGAACTGCTGTCTCATCCTCCAGGCAGCTGTAGGCTCTTTAAAAACCCCAGAACAGGTGACTCAGCCGTCTTTCCTTTGGTCTACATTTAGCAACTCCCTCCTGTTTTCTAACCTTGATGTCTCCCACGGCCATTTCAGTCTTCTGAGGCTCACGGGTGGGACTCTATGGCTGTGGTTTAGCCTGCCTGGTGGGCTTCTCCCTCAATCCCACTGAGCCTAGGGGTGGGGGAGATCCCGTCCTCACCATCTTCAATGTCCTGGACCCTTCGCTTAAGTGCTGCTGTCATTGCATCAGTACAGAGGGAGTACAAATCGGCACCTGTCAGCTGGGCTGGGCATCGGTCCAGGACGCTCACCAGGTTCACAGAGGGCTCGAGCTTGAACCTGGAATGGGGAGGTAGGGGATGGTAGTGAGGGGATGGTCATGGTTTTAGAAAGCATTCTTTTTCTGGAATTAACCCTTGGCTCTCCAAGGGACATCACTGACCAGCATTAAGTTAGTAGAGCAGAAATTCAAACCCAGGTCCTCTAATGCCACATCTGTAGCACTTTCCATTACACCAGTGCTAAAGTGGCTCACCCAGGCACTAACCCTAACCACCCCACATCCCCTAGGCCATACCTTCGTGTGATGGCACTTAGAATCCGAAGCTGGGAAGCCCGATCTTCACTCGGCCCCACAAACACCAGCTTGTCAAACCTTCAGAGAGAGCAGCGGTCAGGGTAGGGTGTTCAGCTAATAAAGCCTTGAAGCCCAACCAAACAAGTGCTATATTCCCTAACCCTGGGGGCCAAGCCTGAGCCCTTGGGAGGCTAGTGGGCTGTAGGCGTTGCCCGTGAGGCAGCTGATACCAATGATAGGTAAGCCTGGCTCTGAGAGGAAGTGTAGAACAAGATGATCATGGGAAATGAGGAGCTAATTGGAGTAGAGTAGGTTTCTCAAAGAGATAGAGGGTTAAGGGATAGGGACAGACCTGCCTGGCCGCAACAGTGCAGAATCTAGGAGATCAGGCCTGTTGGTCGCTCCAATTACAAATACTTCTTGGCTGCTGTGAAGTCCATCAAGCTCAGCCAGGAGCTGGGAGACCACCCTGTATGGATAAAGGTGGAGAATGAGATGGGTGAGAGCCAGGGGCAGAGAGCAACCCAGTCCAGAATGCTTCCCCACTCTTCAGATCTGACTCCTTTTCCATGATGCCAGATCTTGTCCAAGGAGTCTCTTATCCTTATCCCCTGCTCCTCATCTCCAGCCCCTTTTGGCATCTCTTGAGCCCCTTTCCTTGATCTATGACATCTGAGGTCCACATTCTCTCTTTCTCAGTTCTTCCCCCTATTACTTTTATAAGAACCCAAGGGAGTAAGACTTCTGCTCTTAAACTCTGACCACCTGTGGTCCCAGAACTTGACAGTGTGATATCCCTAATCCTTCTGAAGCTCCTAAAGCAGCTGTGTTGTGCTACCCATTTTCAATGCCTCCCATGAAATCAGTCTCATTCCCTGGTTCAGGATTACCCACCTGTCCATCACACCGCCAGAATCCCCGCTTCGCCCCCGACTTGGAGCCAAAGAATCCAACTCATCAAAAAAAATGATGCATGGGGCAGCAGCTCTAGCCCTGGAGAACACTGAAAAGGAGGAAATGGAGATGAGAGGAAGGGAAGGCAACAGGCTAGAAAACCCCAAGGCCTGAAGTGGAGGCTCAGTGGGGATGGGGCTGGAGCTTAACCACTCACTAAATCTGCCCCTGGGAACCTCATTTTCTGCATAGGATCACTGAATTAAAGACTTTTAATTTTGAAGAAACCTCCAGAGATCTAGTTCAATCTCCTTATATGGCAAGCTAAGAATTTGAAGATCAGAAGGGAAGTGACTTGTCCAAGGATACACAGCTAATCAGTGGCAGAGCTAGGCCCTGAGTCCAGTGCTTCATCACACTGCCCTTTAACTAAACCTTGAAGAAAGAGACTAGAAGGGAGCAGCCTTGCCAGGAGGGGAGACAGGACAGGGCGGGAGGTTAAGACTCTCACTCACCTTCCCTAATGTTCTCCTCACTTTGGCCCACATACATATTGATGAGCTCAGGACCTTTCACACTGGGAAGAAAGATGAACATAAGCAGGTGGCTTCCCCAATACCTCCTGGCCCTAGCCCATTCGAGTCCCCAGCCTAGAGTCCTCCCTTCTCCTCCTCCCCACTAGATCTACTGTCCCTTGTTCCTACCTGAGGAAGGTGAGGCTACATTCAGTGGCTACAGCCTTTGCCAGGAGAGTCTTTCCAGTGCCTGGAGGTCCATACAGCAAAAGGCCTGAGCGCCTCAGCCCCAGGTCTAGCAGCTCAGGGTGTTCCAAGGGGAGCTGAATCGTTTCCAGGATCTCCCTCTTCACATCCTGCAACCCTCCCACATCCTGCCAGGATACTGCTGGGATCTAGAGGATGGATGATAAGAGGCTGGAGGCATTCTGATTGTGTATAAAAGACAGAACTAATTTCTTCTTCAAATAAAGTCTGGAACCCCTACCTTGGGGGCCCCAATGGCCTGAGAGTGAGCCATCTGTAGTTGTTCTAGTGCTACTCCAAAGTCCTCTGCCAGTATGGGAAAGCCAGCAGTACACAGTTCCCCCTCATCTTCCTCACTCAAGCTGCCAGCAGCCATCACACTGAGCAAGGAAATGGTGAAGGAGAGAAAAGGTACGACTCAGGACTACCAGGGCTTTGGGCCTCTGTCTCTCCTTAGTGTCTTAGGCCCCTCCTCTCTCCTTAACCTTCCCAGTTTCTCGTCTCCTCCTCCTTCCCATGCTCCTTTTGCCCCTCACCCTGTCTGGATCCTGGCGCAGGCTGCTCGGCTGCTGTAGGCCAACAAGGCACAGAGATCACCCAGCACAAAGCCCTGGGGAAGGTATGAGTGAGAACAAGGATAAGGGCCGTGGGAGGCAGGTCTTGCTTCTACCACCCCCCAGTTCTCCTTTTAGATGCTCTGTGAAGGAGATGAGTAAGTAAATTTTCCTTGGCTCCAGTTGCCAGAACTAGGAGCCATGGGGAACTGCACATCTAAAACTTCTTAACTGGATCTGCCTTAATGTGGAATAAGCTATCCCAGAAGGCTCCCCTCATCGAGAGACTATGCAATCACTCGTTGAGGACATTGTCTGGGCTTCTATATGAGAAGGCCTAGCCGAGCTTTGAGTTCCTTTACAATTTTGAGATTCTATGCCCTGATGTCCATCAATGCCCTGAGAGTTTTCCAATTTCAGTTCAGAAGCAAGTACCGCCTCAAACCTGGGGCTGTGGGATTGAGTGCCCTACCAAGGAAGGTGTGGAGTCCTGTGTCCTTTAACCCCTGACCATCCCTCCCTTGGACTCACTGCACTCCTTCTCGCCAGCTGGGCTAGATTCACTTCCTGGCCCAAGGGGAGGCGGGCAGTTAGTGCCTGCAGGATGCTGAGCCGATGCTCCTCCAACAGCATGGGAACTTCCAGCTCATGAGGAAATGCTATCTGCACGTCAGGAGGCACATTCTGGGGGCAGCTTGTTGTAGCAACAACCAGCAGAGGAAGCGAACTGGAATGAGAGGAGCAGGTGCCACAGCACAGTAGAGTGAGAGGACAGAACTGAGTACTCCAAACACACTGCTGCTAGTATAAAGGAGGAGGGGGGGTGGAACCAGGGAAAAGAACATGAAGACCCCCAGGCTGGACTGTGCTGAGAACATTTTGTGAGTGCCCTGGTTCCAGCCCACCCAAACAGACTGAGGATTTCCCCAAAGTGGTGACTGTTTCCCCGCTTCCTCTAGACATCCCCATAACAGTTATTACACGACTAACCCCACTGCACAATGGGCACTGAGCACACAGTGTTGACTAACAGGACCCTGGCCAAACAGTATCAAGGCAGATGAGTGTATTGACGGGGGAAGGGGTGGGGGTGAGAATGGTCTTTAGCCTCTTGCCAACCCCCCCCCCCTTAGCCTAGTCCCCAGAGCTTAGTCCCAGGTTCCCATGGTGGGTCTGAAGGGATACCTGATGAGGGGATCCTTATTCAGAAGAAGATGTCGAAGCACAGCTACCACATGGGCATCCTCGCCCAGGCCATCCCGTTCCCAGCCCAGGAGTTCCACACCTCTCAAAAGCAGGACAGATGGGCGGCAAAGTTGAGCCCGGGAGAAAGTGGCCCGAAGCTTGCTCTCCACTGCTGCACTGGTGTCTGCACACAGCCTTGAGCAGTCTGCCTGTGGAAATACATAGGCACGTAAGCAAGGGATGGCCCACAATGAAGAATGGGACTGCCTTAGGGACTACTTCAGGCATTCGTGACATTTTCCCAATGCAAGCAAGAGAAAAAGGACTAGCACTCATCGCGCCCCACCCCGACTCTGCTAAACTGGTGGTATTACATAGGCTGGTCACCAAGTCCTTGAAGCCCCCTTCCACCTTGAAGGTCTGCCCTGGGAGGTAAAGGTCCCATGGTAGCAGTGGGACAGGCGACTCTTTGCACTGTCTTTACCCAAAGGACGGCGGGCACCCTCACCTTGAATAAGTGGAGCCCAAGGCGGCCACAGGCAGCAGTGATGGCTGTGGTCTTCCCACTGCCCGGTGGCCCCCGCAGGAGGACACTGCTGGTCCCCATCAACAAAGAGCCCCTGCAACCAGAAAAAGCTAAATTTGGCCCCCTGTCTGTCCTACGCTTTCTCAAACTTTTCTCTTTGAACGTGTACAAGATAAAGATTCCCTCAAAAGAGTAACAGAAATAGTTCCTGTGCCTCAGAGTAAGTTTTCAGGAAGAAGGCTAAGGGGCTTATCCTCCCAAGTTTGTGCTGACTCAACTTCAGGAAGGCTTGCTGAACACTCTGGTCATCTGAGCCATTCTGGCCAATGTGCACCACATCCCCGTTCTTGCTCAGTCTTTTTTTTTTTCAGTTGTGTCTGACTTTGTGTGACCCCATTTGGGGTTTTCTTAGCAAAGATAATGAAGTAGTTTGCCATTTCCTTCTCCAGCTCATTTTACAGATGAGGAAACTGAGGCAAATAGGGTTAAATGACTTGCCCAGGGTCACACAACTAGTAATTGTCTGAGGCCAGATCTGAACTCAGGGAAATGAGTCTTCCTGACTCCAGGCCTGGCACCCTATCCGTTGCATCACCTAGCTGTCCTACCACATTCCTGACCCCTCCCACAACACTAACTCAAAGCCATCCTTCACCTAAGGTCCAAGGTCTCTCTCACCCAGGATGGAGTCTTGGCCTCAGGATATCACAGAGTTGTGTCACTAAAGTCTCCAGCCCTGGAGGGGACAAGCTGCTCCAGAGACCCTGCCCCTCTGAAGGGAGCCACGGGACAAAACTCAGAGTAGAACCCACCTGTACGGTAATGAGAGAGGGGCCTCAGGTACAGCACTCTCTGTCTCAACCTCCCCACTCCAGCCTTCCTCCCCAAAGGCCTCACCAGGTACAAGGACGTGTGGCTTGTATCAGCCAGATATGCAGTGGTTGGTTCCTCTGGGGCCTCCCCAACGGTTGTCTTCACTTTGAAGAACAGAAAAGGCCACCTGTAGAATGAAGGCAGAGCAAATCCCAAGTTTACACATGATTGCTGTATTCTGGAAAGGGAAAAACAAAGGATACTAATCCCATTTTTTAGATAGGAAAAACTAAATCTAGATTAGTTGTGACTAGCCAGGGGACAAGAACACCATTTCCTGACCTTCAACTCAAGAGTTCAAATTAGTTTGACCATACAGCATAGGGATACCCTCACAGTTCTCAGGCTACAATGTCCAATTGCTGTTAGTGATAGGAGGTAAAAATAGTTCCGGAAGACTATGAGGGAAGGGAAGGGAGAGGTTAGCATTTCATGTGAGGAGGAGGCCCTAAGGTTTCTATGACTTCTGTAATACTCAACAGTGCTTACAATAAAAGACAGGAACACAAGACAAACTCTATATCCTTTTTATAATTATTACTCCTAAGTTGAATATCTGATGCATTTTTAACTTGGAATCATGGCTATTCTAAAACATCTTGAGTCTTGACATTTAATGGGAAAAAATGGAAATATGTCTGTATGATCTATGAGGATTACAGAGGTTATAAGACCATAGATAAAGGATACCCTTGATGACCTAGTGAGGTGAAAAGGGAAAACCACTAGAATAATCTGGATACTGCTGGAATACAAATGAGTTGTGTTATAGAGCAGGTGAGCAAGGGAGACGGAGAGAAGAGCTCATGGGCAGCCTCAGTCCTTAGAGCTCCACACTGGGAAGCCCAGAGCTTCTTAAGACTATCCTTAAAGAAAAGGTATGAATCATTCATCTCTATTATCCTAGGGTAAAGTAGGCCTTCATCCCACTCCCTCCCCATTAGAGTCTCCTAAGGGGAAAGTGGAAAACTTCTCTTTCCCACACTAAGCTCGGCACCTCAGAGAAGAGAGGTGAATTGATTAGGCCTCTAACAAAATTTAATAGCTGAGGCCCAGAAACAGAGCTGACATAGGAGTCACAATCTCTGAGGCATTTGGGCTCAATTTCACATTTAAGAATCTGCAGCATTCTTGTGGAAAGTCTATTAATGGTCAGTTGTTCAATTTAAAATGTATAGTGCTTACTAGCTGTTCCCCAAACTTGGCATTCCAACCCTAGCGCTACGTGTATTTTAAACTTGACATGCCTAAAAGAAAACTCATCTTTCCCCCTCAAACCTACCCCTCTTCTGCACTTCCTTATTTCTCCCCTTATAATAAAACATTTACATAGCATATCATTGGATATTCATAACAACTCAGTGAAGTAGGTGCTATTACTACCCCCATCTTACAGATTAAGAGACTGAGGATGGCAGAGGTTAAGTGACTTGTCCCAGAGTTAGTTAGGTATCTGAGGTAGGATTTAAAACTCAGGTCTTCTTGACTCCAAATCTAATACTTTATCCACTTTACCACTTTATCACACAGACATCACTTTAGTTCACTTTGCAACTAGATGTAAAAGGTTTCTAACTGGTATCCCTGCCTCAAGTCTCAAGTCACGTAGTGGCCAAAGTGATTCTCCTCAAGCATATGACACCCCCTTGCTCAGTAAGTTCCAGAAGCATTCTAGCAAATATGAATTTCTCTGCTTGGCATTTAAAGCCCTTCACGACCTGACCCCAACCTACCTTTCCAGCCTTATCGTATGCCATTCCCCTTCTTGAACTCTAGGATCCAGCCACACTGGCCGCTTTGCTGTTCCTCACACAAAATACTCCATTTCCTGACTCTACACCTTTATTTCAGCCACCCCAGTGCCTGGAATGCACTCACTTCTTATCACTATCCTTTAACCTCCTTCAAGACTCAGCTCAACTGCCAGCCTCTGTCTGAAAGAAGCCTTTCCTTGTCTCCTCAGGTGCTCCTGCAGCTCCATCCCCTTCTTCTCCCAAAACTACCTTGGATAAACTCTGGAAAAGCATCCACTGCTTCATTTTTTGTCTATCTCCAGCACCTACACCAGTGCCTGGTATACAGCAAGCAACTAATAAATGCTTATTGACTGAATGCACCCCCTCACCTCTACCCTTCTAAAATGCTTAAGTCAGCTGCTACCTTCTGTAAGAACTTTCTTGGTCTATGCAGTTATTGGTGCTTTCTCCCTCAAATTATCCTGCTTCACTCATCTGTGTACATTTCCTAACAGCCTCCTAAATGGTCTTCTTGCCTCAAATCTCTGTCCTCTCCAAACCACCACCCATATAGTGACCAAAATGATATTCTTAAAGCACAGGGCTGAGTAAGGCACTCTAACCTCTGGGAACAAACATATCCTGTTCTGATATCTAAAGCCCTTTGATCTACCTCAGCTTCAACCTACCTTGTTCAGGCTTATCATATATTACTTCCTCAGTTTAACCAAACTGGCCTTCCTGCTGTAACTCACACATGACACACCATCTCCCTGCCTCTGCACATGTTATCTGTCCCTCATGATTCTTCAAATCTTAGAATTCCTAGTTTTCTTCAGAGTTCAGCTCAAGAGCCATCTCTTACATGAATGAGGTCTTTCTTGATCCCCTAGCTGCTAGTGCCTCCTCCCTTGAAATTATCTTGTTTTTACTTTTAATAGACCTATACACAAACACGTTGTGTCCCACACCCTTGCTCCAGCCAAAGAGTATATGCCTCTTGGGGGCAAGGTTTTTTTTCCCACTTTTCTCTTTGTGAATCCAGCACCTGGCACACAGCATGCACTTAATGCTTGTTGACAGACATCGCATACTCAAGTAGAATGTAAGCTCCTTGAGGGAAGGGTCTATTTTCATCTTTGACTTTGCATCCTACTACCTAGTACAGTGTCTTAGACATGGTAGGTGCAAAACAAGCGCTAGTTGGATAAATGATCAGTAGCTGAGAAGGACTTATTTTCACACTCCTATTTTTTTATTCCCAAAAGCTGGTCTTATGAAGGACAATGGCAGTACTATGGTTAAAAAACCCATGGAGAGGAAGTGCCTACAGTGGAGAAGAGAGTACACAAGAAGCCAACCAAGAAACCAGCCCTGCACTGGGCCCTCCCAATACTGTAATGTCTGTCTGTCTGTCTATCTTTCTTCTGAGGCCATTCGCGAAGGTCAGTGTGGAGGGCTATTGTCAGAGCATCTGACACAGCTGAGCTGTCAGGTAACTGCCGAGTGTAAACACACTAACAAACTATCCCTGCACAGAACAAAGGCCGGGGCCCAGGACCACTGATGAGACATATGTACGCTGAAGCCACTGCCAGGATCTCCCTGGGACAGGACACTGGCCTGAATGTCAAAGCACTGGACTCTTAGTCCTGACATACCGACTGACCTTGCACAAATAACCTCTCTAGGAAGAGTGAGGCAAGCCTTATCTTTGATGTGGCTGGTCTAAGGCCCAAGAGTTCCCCCAGACCTGGTTGTGCCACACAGCTCCAAATCTTTCTGCCTTTTAAAAAGCATTTTAACTCTGTTATAAACATGCTATTCAATAAACATTTACTGAGTGCTTACAATGGACAAAGAAAGGCATGGATAAAGGCCTGTACTCCAAGGTAGAGGAGGAATGACAGGCTAGGGGAGAAACCGCCAACTCTCTTTTTAGCCAAGGGCCCAAATCACACTTAAACTTGGTATTGTTCTTACCTTACTTTATACGTGGGAACACCGAGACCCAGGGGCAGGCCTAATTCACCCAGTTATGATCATACAAAGTCAGTAGAGGAAGACTCAGTTATGCTGATCCCTAACTTTCTGTTGCAAAGAGTAGATAAGTGGAAAAAAGACATTCCCTCAGCAGCAAGTGCCATTTCTTCTGCAGGATGGAACCAAGGAATAGCATGTGTACTCTTTCCTACCTAAACAGATTACAAGTTCTGGGTCACCTTGTGTCATATATACATGTAAGGGAGAGGCATCAACTCAGGAAGATACATTAGGCCAACGATGAGAAAACAGTGGAGTTTAGAATAGAAACCTCAGTCCCAGGTTCAGAAAAGCCACGAAGGCCTAGGCTTTCAAGTAATTCTTAATGTTTTAGTCCAACCATACTATCCAAATTTGAGGGCAAAAGTACTACAGACTTAGAAGGGGCTTCTCAAGGTGTAGGATGGGGCTGCATACCTGAACAGTTTCTCTGGGCTTCTTTCCAATACATCTGCTTGCCCAACTGTTGGCACACACAGAATATCCCCTTCCTGGACTACCCTGTAAAACAAAAGCAGTCCCAGTGAGATCATAACTGGAGGTTGGTGACATGTTGAAATTATCTTTTGGGGGCAAACTGTCCACCCAGAGATCAATCTAGTATGGGAATAGGGGTGGGGGAGGGTGGGGGTGAGACAGGAAACTCTGGGAAGGTGGAGAAAATGGGGAAGAAAGAAGTATGAATTTTCCAGAGTTGACTAAGAGATCCAGTGGGTTTCTTGTGAAGTACCCACTCTCCTGCATCCCAATAGTGATCTCTTCCCCGCTACTTCCTAAAACACAACTTCAATAATCAAATGGACATGTCTAGATCTGGGATTCAGGAAAGAAGGGGAACAGGATTGATACAGAATGCCAGGTTCTGTTTCTACAAAAGGTAAACATCTTTTTGTTTAGATTATGATGCTTTGCATCATGATCCTTCATTGACCTTGTGGTCCACAATTGGAAAGGCTGCTGAGACTACAGTCTTGAAAAGAGTACAGATTCATTAGGGAATTTGAAACTTCTATGAAGAGAAGTTCTAGTGCAAATTCACTAGAAAAAGGGACTTCTCTCAATTTGCTGTCCTTCTTCCCCCATGATATATCTTTGTTTTTCCAGAGTTTATCACCTTTTAGATTTGGAGGCAGAGGAAAATCACTGAAGAGACAAATTAGTGTGTCCCATGTGGTAAAGAACCATGTAGAAAGTGACAAAAGAAATATTTATCAACTGGAAAAATGTTTCCTGCAAGGATCAAGAAGGGAGACTTCCATCTCTTATCTATCATCTGTCTCAAATTTGAAAGGTGGAAGGTTTTAGAGGAAAGATGCTAAGGACTATAGTCATATGGCTAGGTCAAGAAAATATTAAATATACAGCCAACTCTTTATTGTCAATCTTTGAATTAACTTATTTTTTATAATCCATATGTGATTTTTAATTTCAGATTGGGATATACTAATGATCCCCTAATATTAACTCTTCAAGGAATGAAAAATTAACTTAAATATTATCCTAAGTTAATCATAATTAAAATATAGAACCTATTGGGGAAAATGAATAATTCATTGAAAAAAACAGATTAAGGAGCTGACCTGGGTGTCTCAAAGTGCAGATAAAGAGCCTGGTCATAGTTGCCACTGGTGCTGTAGTGGGGGGAGGACACGATTTCAATGTGCAGCTCTCTAGCAAATGGAGGCCCAGACAGCACTGAGCAGCTTCCTCTGTTCTCAGGACTCCTGAATCCTTCTGAGTATCTCTATTAGAGAAACAATCAACATTTTACAGTCTTCCCTTTACGTGGTGATTAGACTATGCCCTCTTTGTAGGAGAGGTTATTGTTTAAACGTTCGTTGTATAACCATGGGTAAATAACATCTCTGAGCCTCAGTTTCTTCATCTGTAAAATGGAAGTAATATCTGCAGTAACTATCTCACTGACATGAGAGGCTCAAATAAATAATGTATGCAAAACACTTTATACCTTAAAATGCCATAGATACATCAGTTTTTACTGTTATTATTCACTTCTATCCACTAGTCCACATTTTAACACAATCGGAAAGATGGTGGGTTATAAGACCTGGGAAATCAGAATCAACCACCTCCAAAACTATCATTCCTAGACTGCTACCCCCAGGAACAGAAATCCTTCCTAATTTACCTACAGAAGCAGTGTTTCTCTCCTCTTTGAATACAGTATTACTTTGATTCTTCACTTTAGTTTTTAAAATGTCCCTAGTTACAGCCAGGCCTCTGAAAATCCCTTCAATGTCCTCGAGTAGGTCTGAGCTAGCAGAAGTATCAGGTCTCAATAGATAATTGGGATGTATTTAGTTTCCACTTCAACAACACTAGGTAGTCCATGTGATTGGTTTGAGAAGGAACTCAAAGTTCAGTTTATTCAGGATAATGGCAAAAAGACAAGATCTCAGGGAGGTGGTTGGGGCTCAGCAGAATGATTAGCATGAGAACTGTATGTCCTATATGCTCTTCTCCCTTCACTTTCTTTCTCTGCCCACCTAAAGGACACTGCATAATCCCTAAGACACAGGATCACAGATTAAAAGGTTGAAGCAAATACAAAAATATTTACAGCAGCTCTTTCTGTGGTGGCAAAGAATTGGAAATTGGGAAGATGCCCATCAATTGGGGAATGGCTAAACAAGCTGTGGTATATAAATGTAATGGAATACTATTGTGCTATAAGAAATGATGAGCAAGAGGACTTCAGAAAAACCTGGAAAGACTTATATGGACTGATGCTGAGTGAAGTGAGCAGAACCAGGAGAACAGCTACGCTGTGCAAAGACTAACTTTGATAGACTTAGCCCTTCTCAGCAATGCAAAGATCTCCAGAAGTCTCACGAAAGAAAATGCTATCCACATCCAGAGAAAGAACTACAGAGTTTGAATGCAGATCAAAGCATACTATTTGCTCTTTTTTTTCCTTCCATTTTGTTTTGTTTCCTCTTTCTTGCGGTTCCTCCTATTGGTTCTAATTCTTCCTTAAAATATGACTAGTATAGCACCAGCCCTGAAGTCAGGAGGACCTGAGTTCAAATCCGACCTCAGACCAAGCACTTGACACTTACTAGCTGTGTGACCCTGGGCAAGGCACTTAACCCCAATTGCCTAAAAAGAAAAAAAAAATACAGCTAACGTGAAAATGTTTAATAAAATTGTCTATGTAAAGCCTGTATCAGATTTCGTATCTTGGGGAGGGAGGTGGAGAAAATTTTAAAACTCAAAAGCTTATGGAAGTGATTGTTGAAAACTAATAAGAAAAAGAAAAAGAAAAAGAAAAAAAAAGAGGTTGACCTTAGAGATCACAGAGTCCAATTCCATCATTTTACAGAGAAGGAAACTGAGGCACAAAGAAAAGAAAGTATTAAGAAGCACAACTGGGATTCAAAGAATAGAAAACTCAGCTATAGATCCAGAAAAGGCATGAAGGTCAAGGTATTCAAGTAATTTTTAATGCATTATTTCAAAAATAAAGACACCATACCATACAAACTCCAAATCCATGACTCTTTTTACTGGGCCAAGACATTTCTCCTTTCTGACTTCGAATACCAATTATTTTCTGTGCCATACACAGGGATACTTAATTATATTTCATCTTGCAGAATAAGTCTATTTTGAGACAGCCATCTCAATAAATGCAATAAGCTACATAACTCCTAAAAGCAGTAATCTTCCCAGCTTCTCATACAATATTAAGCACACTGCAAGTGAGGGTTCTGGATATTATTCACACGTGATAATTATAACGTGAATTTCCAACTTTCACCTGAAGAGCTCTCAAATTCTGGATGTATATACGTGTGTGTACACATGCTATATGTCAATATATAAATTCTTCACACCTTAACCCCTTTTTAAAATAGTAATCTCATTGTATAGAAATGGAAACCAAAGCCAAGAAGCTGGCTCAAGGAGATCCAGGTGTCTTATTTCATAACTCAGTAAAAGTCAAAACTGAGCCGTGGAGAGGGTACCTCCTGGTCCTTACCTGAACGCTGAGCTCCCCGATTTCCAGGGGTTCACAGGAGAGATTGAAAGCCAGATTGGCAGGCACCAGGGCCATCCCGTCGGCGAGGGGCTCCCCCAGCTCCGGGGACCCGGGTCCCAGCTTCTCGGGGAGATTCCAGCGAGGGTCCTGGACCTGCACCTTGGCCAGGTGAGGCCGGGGGGTTGGGGCCCCTTCCCTGACCGGGGTCACCCACACCCACTCTCCCTGGAAGAGGCCGAGGCCCCGCAAGCAGCTCCTGCTGACCCCCAGCGCCTCCCCCGCCCCGCCTAAGATGCCCTGCAGCCGTCGGGGCACGCTGGGGGCCGCGAAGGAGGACACCACGGGCGGGGCCGGCAGCGGGGGCCGGCTGTCCCCGGGCAGGGGGACCCCCTTGGCGGCCCGTCCCCGGAGCTCGGTCACCGCCAGCCGCGTGCCGGGGCCCAGCAGCCCTTGCAGCGCCGGCCGCGTCTCCAGCACCCGGGGCCCGAGCGCAGGCAATGCCTCTCCGCGCCGCACGAGCACCGGCCCCGCTCGCGGGCCCGTCCCGGAGCCTGAGCCCGGCGCAGCGCCCAGCAAGGCCCAGCCCAGCGCCGGGGGCCGCCGCACGGGCCGGGCCCGCACTCGCGCGCCAGAACCCAGCGCCAGGAGCCGCAGCAACGTCCGGCTCACCAGCAGCTCTGGGGGCCCGGGCTCCGGCTCCGGCTCCGGCCCGGGACCCTCTCCTGGGCCCTCCAGCGCGGCCACCAGCAGCGCCGGCCCCGTGGGCCCCGCCCCCGCCGGCCTCAGCGCCAGCACCAGGCCCGCGGGCCCCGCCGCCGGCCACGGCCCCCCAGGCGGCAGCAGAACCGCTAGCGGCGGGGCCTCGGCCGGGAAAGGCTCCAGAGCTCGCAGCACTGCCAGCGCCATGAGGACAGCGACTGCGGCGTAGGAACAGCGGTCGCCGCTTTCCCTTCTGGAGCCGGCAGGAGCAACGCGAAGCGGAAGCACCCGCGGCTGGCCTTCAGAAGCGCCGCTTTCGGCTCCCATAGGAGTGGGAGGGGTAGGACGTAGGAGGAGCGGGAACGGGCGAAAAAGGTAGTGGGAACTTCTGCGCAGACTCCAAAAGGCGGAGGCGGTCGACTGCTTAGAGGATGTGGGCTTGACAGCCATAACCATGGTAACTAGGGCTGCTTGTGCTGCTCCTGCATCTGCGCCTGTTCCACTGTGACTCTGGTCTTCCAAGGCAATGGTCCACTCTACGCGGTGTTTTGAGAACCTGTTTGCGGTGCCTATTGGGCCGGCATTCGGTTCCTTCCTCCCTAGTAGTTCTATTTCTTTTTACCACGCTCTCCCAATTACCGTTTTGCTTTGGTGACCTTGCTTCTAATATGTCCTTTATGATTATTTACTAGCTGACAAATTAACAAATACATTGTCTTGAAGTTTAGGTTCTCTCCATTCTATAGGAAGAATGAATGCATGTTTGTATGCATGCATGAGCGAATGAATGAATGGAGCATTTATTAAGCTCTTATTCTGTGCTAAGCTCTGGAGACACAAATAGAAAAGCAAGATGGCTCATGCTCTCAAGGAGCTCCCATTCTAATAGGGGAGACAACACATATGGGAGGTATCAACTGAAAGTCAGATGGAAAGGGCCTATGGTCTTAGGGTGCAAGGGCAAAGCAAATGGTAATACCTCTTCTTTAATGCTATTTCCAGTGATAAAACTGTATCAGTGTTTGATGTAAAACCATTTGACAGTACCAAGGACTTTGGATAACAAGAACTTTCTTTCCTGAGTCTTCAGTAGCTGTGGCAGTAGCACCTGCAGGAGCAGTGGCCAGGATGCATCTCCACAGGGTCTGCTTCTGAAGATGATGAATAGAGACACTGGGCTGGAAACATTGCTCTTCCCAAGGCTCCTGGGCCATCTCTATCAGGGTCCAAAAGGAGATGGTGGTCAAGGAGGTGGTGGTGGTTTGATTTGTCTGGTGCAGGCTACCTCCTGTCTCTTTCTCAAGGTGCCTTGCTGCTTGAGGGAGGCTGACTTGGGCTCAGGGTTCTGAGTCATCTCCTTCAGAGTCTGATAGGAAATGTAAGTTTCTTGAGGTCAGGGTGTTTATTCTTGTGTTTGTATTCCTAGCACCTATACAGTCCCAAATATATGCTCAAAATACTCAAGTGGATTTCTCTCTTTCATTCTTTTTTTTATTCCTTCTTTCTCATGGTTTTTCCCTTTCGTTCTAAATATTCTTTACAACATGACTAATATGGAAATATGTTTAATATGATTATAAATGTGTGGCCTATATCAGATTGCATGCCTTTTTGGGGAGGGAGAGAAAATTTAAAACTCAAAATCTTATAAAAATGAATGTTGCAAGCTAAAAATAATTATTTGTTTATTTTTTAAAATACCCAAATGGATTTCTTGTTTCATGATACTGATGGTCTCTGAATGGTCAAACCAATCAATCATCAAGCATTTGTTAAACATCTACTATGTGCCAAGAACTGTACTAGCTGTTAGTTACTGAGAATACAAAGGCAAAAATTAAATACTATAGTGCTTGCTCTTAAAAAGTAATAATCGAAATCTCAACACAGTCTTCCTCTGTTCAGTTCCTGTCCATGTTCTCTCATAAATTTGTCCTGGGAGTCCATTCAGCCTTCTTAGATTTCTCCTGACGTCAGGAGAATACCAGTGGAGCATTTGAGCTGTCCACTGGGTTATCCACCTGTTGTCCCCTTTTACTGTCATGGCATTTCGGCCCCTTTGCTCATACATTTCCCTGATGATATCTTTTACTCCATTTCTTCCAAGTTCTCTTTTGTTAAATGTTGTACCCAGCTTACACCCACTGTGTACCTCTCCATTCCCTTTTGTGTGAAACTCATTTTAAATTCTTTGAATGACTCACATCTGAACAAAAGCACCAAGAGAATATTGGTATTAACAAGATGGAACTTTGTTTCTGGGGGAAGTTGAGGTTATTAAAGCATCTCTCATTTAGACTGTATATATCTTGTATGTATGTTATCATGGTGTCTCCCCCTTTTAGAATATGAGCACTTACTGAAATGCCTGACACATAGTGAGCATTTATTAAAGGCTCTTTGACTGACTGACACTTTTTTGAGACATGCCACATAGCCATATAGCTGAACTGTACTGTAGACGTTAGTATTGGGGAAGCCAGAGATACTTTTAAACTTTGATGCATCCAGGAGATGATGTGAGCATCATTCCCTTCATAAGTACAGATTACCACTACTGTATGCCTTCTCATCTTATATAATTATTGCCCATGTTTTTTCTGTAGATAATAGCAATAACTCACATTTATAGTGCACCTTAAGGTTTACAAAGTACTTTCCTCACAACCACTCTATGAGGTAAGAGAATACAAGTATTATTATACTCATTTTTCAGATGAGTAAACAGGCGCAAATACAAAATATACATCCAATGACACTGACCTTCTGGCTGTTCCATAAACAAGATATTCCATCTCTCAGTTCCAAGCATTCAATCTGGCTGTCCCCCATTTCTAGAATAATCTCTCTTCTCCATTCCAACTACTGACCTCCTTGGCTTCCTTTAAGTCCCAACTAAAATCCCACCTCCTACAGGAAGTCTTCTCCAATCCCTCTTCATTCCAATGCCTTCCCTCTGTTAATTATTTCCTATTTATCCTGTATATAGCTTGCTTTGTATATATTTGTTTGCATATTGTCTTCCCCATTAGATTGTAAGCTCCATGAGCTCAGGGATTGTCTTTTACCTCTTTTTGTGTTCTCAGGGCTTAATACAATGCCTGGAACATAGTAGGTGCTTAATAAATGTTTATTGAATTGAATTGAATTTGATTTGAGCCATTGGGGAGGAGGAGAGAAGGGAACAAGCATTTATTAAAAACTTACCATATGCAAGGCGCTGAACTAAGTGCTTTGCAAATATTATCTCATTTTATAACTTACAACTCTGGGATGTAATTGTTGTTGTTTTTAGGATGTTAGAGCCCAGGAAATATGAACCTAGCCCTTCCTGACTGGGCTTCCAGGGCTTTCCAAACCATACCACATTGTCTCCTGTAGACCTTCCAAAAATTCACCCAAGGCACTAGAGGCCATCCTGTGGTTCTTTTACTATTTTGTCAGTCACAGTGCAGCAATTAGAGTGTGCTTCTGCTTTCCTTGTCTTTTTCTGATCATATTGATCCTTGGTAATGTTTGAGTACCACTTCTGGTAGGCAAATTATTACTGGTAACAGGCTACAACATGGATTGTTAAAGGGGCAGCCAGATGGCTCAGTGGATAAACTGCTGGGCCTGGAATCAGGAAGACCTGAAGTTCAAATTCAGCCTCAGAGACTCACAAGCTGTGTGACCTTGGGCAGTCACTTAAGCTCTGTTTGCCTTAATCTGCCGGAGAAGAAAATGACAAACCACTCCAGTGTCTTTGCTAAGAAAGCCCTATACGGGATCACAAAGAGTCAGACAGGACAGAAAACAACAACAAACAGGCTGCAGGCTACTCACATCGGTTATATGTCTTTCCACTGCCCTTTGAGTCTTCTACAATTTGGATTCTTCTGGGATCATGGTGTTCCCAGGGCTTCATGAGCATCAGGCTATATGTGGGGACGGGAGGGGGAAGAAGTTATGGAAGGAATTAAAGTAACTAGAATGTAATAGGCGTTTCCGTGCATTTTATAAGTGCTTGTTCTATGGGGTAACCATTAGCCAAATAGATAGGGTCGCCCCAATAGCCTGATGCCTTGATTCATCTCTCAACTGAGTATGTTCCGCCAAACCTACCAAACCATTCCCCCATTCCCATCCCCCAAACCCCGTCCCATGAGGCTGTCGGTGGGTACTCTTGGGGATGGGGAAGAAGTAGTGGAAGAAGGCTGACTTAAAAGGTACAGTGGCACGTCCCCTGTGCTCCACCGTCTACTTCACAATCCCTTCCCCTCTGTCCTAGCAGCAGCTTCCCTGTCATATTCCCCTTGGGGCATCAGAGAAGGCAGAAGAATGAAAGAGGGGGCAGAGGCTTCAAGCATAGGCACAGAGCTGTCATGCTGTTTCTCACTTGTGCCTCCAGAGAGATTCCTCCCTTGCCTCCACCCCCAACACCACAGAACGTTGAAACTCTAAGGGAGCACTAGGCTCCCAGTTATTAATAATGCGTCCTCACTCAACTTAGATACATTGGATGGAAAGGGTCTTGTACAGAGTGGGCAGTCAAAAAGTAGCTGATTAACTGAGAGGATATATGATTCATTGATGATAAGTTTGTTTCTCTACCTTTACCCTTCTTTGATAAGAATTGTAGACTCACTGATCTAGGGAACTTAGAAGTCACCTAGTATAATCCCCCTGTTTTTCAGATAGGGAAATTGAGTACTGGAGAGCTTAAGTGACTTCTCAAAGGTGATACAGGTAATGGTGTTATTCAGTTATTTGCTCTTTGTGACTCCATTTGGGGTTTTCTTGGCAAAGATATTGGAGTGGTTTGCCATTTACTTCTCCAGCTCATTTTACGGATAAGGTGACTGAGGCAAACAGTTAAGTGTTAAGTTAACAGTTAAGAATTAACAACTAAAGGTTAAGTGACTTGCTTAGAGTCACAAAACCGGTAAGTGTCTGAGGCCAGATTTGAACTTGTGAAGATGAGTCTTCCTGACTCCACACCTGACACTCTAACTACTGGGCAACCCAGTTACCCTTCATACAGATAGTAAGTAGCCTCACAATCAGCCATTCATTACCTCCAAAGGAAAAGATTGCATAGTATGCGGTTGTAGGGATGAATGTGCAGCAAGGACAGGCCCCAAAATGTGTCACATAATAGGACATTCCTGCCCAGACAATGTGACATTGTTGACAGCTAGTATTTCTGATCCCTGCCAGCTTGATTCTTTCCTCTTGCTCTTCTGCATTTCCATGACCTGATGCCAAGGACTATTTTAGGAATCTGATTTCATTCAAGCTTGGTGTCCCCCTGAAAGACTGAAATCAGCTGTGATTAGTAGTATGTTACTCTGATTGAAAAGGTTTACCACCTTTCAATACTAATAACAGCTTATATAGGAT